TTTTTTTTTAATTTGATCAACCATTTTGAATTTAAAAAAGTTGACTTCAGATTCGTAATCGGCGACCCCAAAAATTCTCGAGTGCCGGGTTTCGAACAAATCCAATCATTTAAAAAAAAATGGATCGCCATTTTGGATCCGCCATTTTGAACTTAGAAAAACCGACTTCAAATTCCTAATTAGCAACCCCAGGAACCCCCTGGTAACAAGTTCCAACCCATGACAATGCGTAAATCGTGCAGTATCAACGTTTTAATTTTACTAGTGTCTTTTCGAGAGCATATTTTCGGGAACTAGATCCATTCTAATTGTCCAAGCCAGGTGTGTAATTAAGGGAAAGCTCCCCATTAATACCAGAGTAATTATATGTAAAAACCACATTTTTAGCTGCATTTTAACATATCAAGAAAATAAAAAAAATTTAGAACATCAGCGTTTTTATAAAAAACCGACCAGCGTGACCTCTAAGAAAACTTTTTTTCAAAATAAAAAAATACGTGTATCTTTTTTATCACAAATAACAATAATTTGAGGTAGCGTTTATGATTTTCCAAAAAAACAATTTTTTGAACCACTCTAATGTACTTATTACTACTAATGTTTTTTATATCCATTTATGCTTACATATTCTATTTGCAAGTGTTATCTAAAAATTGTGTTTCGAGAGCCTAGCCTTATTTGTAAAAAATAGATCCGTGCGAAATAATGTAAAAAATATTTCGATAAATTTGTTTAATTTTTACGAATTACGCGCACTACATAATCAGGTAATTCTCAAGGTGCCATAGCAGTAATATTGTTTATTCTTTATATACACTTTTGTTAATTTTAGTTTATAAGATTTATAAAACAAGATTTATTAATAAATAAACACAAGTACAAAAAAAAACATTTCAAAACGTTTAAAAATATTTGGTCGTTGTGAATATCATAAAATTTATTTTTATTCTTTATGGAGTGTTTGACAATGTGGCTCCTTACGACACCATTTGACTACCCTAAATGTTTATTTCAGCATCAAAAGCCTTAATTTTAAATACACTATACATAAGATGAGAGCTTATTGAAATACTCTACTGTTAAAACCGATACACAAACACACAAATACAAATGTCCTTGGAACACGATTCTATCCACGCATACTCGTACGAAAGCAGATCTTCTCACGTCAAATGTAGATTAGAAATGAAATGTTTTTTAATCATATTTGGTTGAGTTTTATCCACCGATGCAAGCAGAAATATCATTTTCTTTATGTATGTACATATGTGTGTATCTACAACCCGTACAGGTTTCATGATGAAGAGCATGCAAATCTTTTGAATGCAATGTGGCTGATAGCAATAACCTTTCTAAGTGTCGGTTTCGGTGATATTGTACCCAATACGTATTGTGGACGCGGTATTGCCGTCACTACAGGAATAATGGTGAGTGCTGCAACAACGTACAAATTTGCACATGTAAGGAAAGTAAAAAAGAACCAACTATAACATACTTTTATATGTATGTAGTTCTGCGTTTACTGCTTATTTTTTCAAATTTAAGCGATCTTACTCATACTATGTATCATGTTCAATAGAAGAAATGTATTTCCTATACAGGGGAACCAAAGAAAAAAAAAAAACATTGATGGACAGACACGCAAATTATAGTATAGAATTTTACTTTTGCTATAATGATTAGGGGTATTCTCTGAGTCTTGCAAAGCACTTGCACGGTGCACAGATTGCACGGTAAAAACCGGTTTCCGTATGAGACAGCTTTGCAACCGTGCAATCCGTGCACCGTGCAAGGGCTTTACAAGACTCAGAGAATACCCCTATTGTAATTAGTGTTCATGATTTGCTTTTTTGACTGTCCAGGTATTTTTTTATTTAATTTTTTCCACACAAAAAAAATTTGTGCGTACATATGTATGTATGTACATATGTACATGGCGTCTTTGTTTATATGAAATTCAGAGACCGTAACGATTATAAGTTTTATTTAAAAATTACTCTTTAATAAATATTTTCTGAGCTCTATTTATGCTAAGTAAATAATAAATATAACTCTGCTTCTTGAACTATAATATTATATATTTACTTGGAAAAATTTTGTTTTTTAGTTTTATTTTTTGCTTGAAAAAAAATATTTTTCAGTTTTTTTTCTGATAATATTTTTTTAAACTGAATTTTTTGTTTCAAAAATATAAATTATCTTTTCTTGGTTTTAGTTTTTATTATAAAATTAAAAATTTGTTTTTGTTATTTTATGGCCTTTATAACAATTATATTCAACAATTTTTAATGAGCTTGAGGCCGTTTTTAATGAAAAACTTATTGTGGAAAAGCAACAATAATGTGAAAAAATGGTAGAAGTGATAGCTATTTCGGAAATCACCACATTTCCTCATCAGACTTCTTTCAGTAGGCTTCGAACCGACGATCCCATTGACTCAGCCAGTTGCCTATGCACTGTGCTAAGTTCGCCTTGTACATTATGAAAAAGTGGGAAAAAAGCAACTATAATTTAGCTGAAATGCCCAGCTAACAACGGTCCATTCCTTGATTCCCCACGCAAACTGCAATTCCCCGAAAATCGGGGTAATTCCACACGAGTTGGCTTCACTGATAAGGATACAATTTTTCAAGGGAAACTTATTATTTTTTACTTAAATTGTTTTAATTAATTGCCACAGAATTTAATAGTCTTGTTTTTTTTTTGTACAGTAGCCATGTTAGGCATAGGCTAATGTGACCAACCGTACTTCTTTCGGAAGTACAGTACTTCTTTTTTCGCTCTTGTACTTCGTACTTCGAAGTACAGTCAAATGTACTTCTTTGCGATATTTGGTACTTCAGGAGGGAGATTCTGTAACCAGTTAGCGACAATTTTCGGATCGCTATCACACCTTTTGACGCTTGATATAAATGTTTATTGCGTCAAGAAGTGCGATAGCGATTCGAAAACTGTCGCTAACTGGTTAGAGAATCTCCCCCCAAGGTCCTCTAATTCTCCGATCTTCTGGCATGGCATCAAACCATTAAAGTCGCCGGGGACCGATGGCGTCATACCTGCGCAGTTGCAAAGGGCTCTGAAGGTGTCGTGAAATAGGTTGGATCGTATTTATGCGAACAGCGTAAGGACCGGGTACATCCCCAAGTCTTGGAGGGTGGTCAGTGTTGCGTTCATCCCGAAGGCCGGAAAAGGCTCTCTTGTTTCCCCTAGGGATTTTTGCTAAAAACGCTTTTGCTAAAACGGTAAAGAGACTGATAGACCTGTACATAAGAAACGCGATTCCTCGTGACTGTCTTTCAAGAGCTCAATATGCTTATATTATTGCAAAGATCGGTGAATACCGCCCTGCACACATTGGTAAAGTGGTCAGAGGAAGCCTTCACGCATGAAGATTATGCAGTAGGGACCTACTTCGATATCGAGGGAGCCTTCAACAATGTCACTCCAGAGACAATAGTCAAGTATATTCATAATCTGTGGATAGAAACCAACCTATAAGCTTACTTCGTGACAGAACTGTCGCCCTGGAGTGGGGGAGTATCTGCACTCAGTGCAAAGTCAGTGGGCGCACTCCACAAGGTGGTGTTTTATCTCCCCTGCCCTCGATTGCGGTTGTAAACGACCTTCTAGGGGGACTCGAAAAAGTGGGCTGTCGGGTGATCGCCTATGAAGATTATGTGGAACTTTTGGTAAAGGGACGATTTCTATACACCATTTTTGATCTGGCTTAAGGTTACCTGAACCAGGTAACTAGGTGGGCAATCAACGGCGGCTGCCGTAGAAGCCTAATATTGCGGAAAGGGTAGGAAAGGTGTCGGTTGCCTTGTACTGCTGTAGGGAAGCTATCGGTAAAAGGTGGGGTCTCTCGCCCAAATTAATTATTAGCTCTAGGAAACCAGATTTAAGCCTATATTGTATCAAGGAGCCCTTGTCTGGTGGAACTCACTAGGGAAGGCTACACTTGTAAAACGGGAATTAGCGGTGCATTAACAACCGCACCTACACTGACGCTTAACATACATATGTTGAACACGGCGCATGCGGGTATTGCAGACAGAATTATCGCAGCGCGAACTGCTATTAGGCTAAGGTAAACCGGGTCCTTTTGTGACATAAAAAAGGAAAAGAAGGTGTTTTTCTGCTAAAGCAAATGTTTTTATAGGGCACTTTAAAACACGTTACCTCTCAAGGGCTAGTGATGGGGGGGGATTTCGACTGATCCTTTTCTATCAGCTGTCAAGAGGAAGATGAAGTGGAATCATCTCCACACTTTCTTTTAGACTGTCCAACCTTCGCGAGGCTAAGATGGAAGCATTTTGGCTCGCACTTCTGAACATACACTGAGCTCTTAGGGGTCGAAATAAGCCGTATTCGAAATTTCGTAATCAGCTCGCGGCATTAACTTAACCTAACCTAACCTGTACTTCTTTGAGCTATGAAATAGTTGGTCACATTAGGCATAGCATAAAATTGAAAAGACTGCAGGACATTGTTATGGGTCAAACACTACTTAACCAAGTTCTGCCCAACACGATAGGCTCATTACCTAGGTATAATAGGGCCAAGGCAAATTGTGAAAATAATTCAATTAGGAAAATGCAACGCGCTTCTTCCATACAATAATGAAATAATGGTTGAAATGATTTTTGGGAATTCGCATGGTATAATAAAAGCTAAATATGTATGTATACTATGTTTTATATATTTGTCAGTTTAAACACATTTTGGTGAAGTTACAAATTTCCCTAAAAATATTTTGACCGTTGTTTTACGTTGGCAAAATACGACTTAAAAAAATTACGATTCAATTATTTACATACATTTTATTTACATACGTGCATTTATACACATGAACTAAATATGTTTAATATACTTAAGTGTAGCGTTAATTATTTAAACCGTCATTCCTGCAAATTTGACGTTTTCGGCATTTTCGACGAGAGTAAGCTATACGCAGACAATATAAACTGGGCACACTATTTAGCTGATATGGATGCAGGTTAAATTTTAAATTTCATTACTTTCGATTCGTACAAAAACCAGAAGTTGCCCCAATATTTACATAAAATTAAATAATACACACGTGTACGTAAATAGTACGGTAAAGTTTATAAAGAAAACGGCGTAAAACGTTCTACCTTTATAACAATAATGAGGAGTATTCTTGTAATCATATGAATCGAAAATTTGAAGTTTTTGTATAGAAAGTGATAGGAAAATTTCATTATTTTCGATTCGTACAAAAACCAGAAGTTGCCCCAATATTTACATAAAATTAAATAATACACACGTGTACGTAAATAGTACGGTAAAGTTTATAAAGAAAACGTCGGGTTGAGATTTAATAAGAGTTCCGAATATTGAGAGCAATATTTTTGGTGATTCAGTCAACTATTACAAATCTCTATACTTATGCATAAACTATAAGTAATTATTTAAAAACTAATGTCTAAAAATATATTACAGGGTGCTGGATGTACGGCATTGCTTGTTGCGGTCGTCTCAAGGAAACTGGAACTAACTCGCGCGGAGAAGCATGTGCATAACTTCATGATGGACACACAATTAACGAAAAGGGTATTCGAAAGATGTGTTGAAATTTTTCGCAAACCGCATAATCACTTTAGTTATAATTTTTATTTGGAAACAATGCACTCGCATTAGAACTTATCATTGTGGTCATTTTCAATAAATATTCGCACTTATCCATAAAATAGTAATTATCTATATACATACGTAACTATTTATGTATATACGAATATTAATTAATATCTAAGGTCAAGTTTTCTATCAAATACATTTTTTATTTAACTCACATGCAGTATTTGCTCAGACCAAAGAAATACATAAGCACATATACTGTACATACATCCCATCGNGGCAGCTGAGATAGGGCGTTTTTGAAACGAATTCTGAAATAGGGCGTTCTTGAAAAGTTTTTTGAGATAGAATGTTTTCGAACTGGCTGCCGAGATAGGTCGATCTTCCACTCAGCCATCGATATACTGTACATACATCCCATCAGTTCTATGGAGTGTTATCAAAGTGTGTATCTGATTAATGATTAAAAATGGATTATTGAAATGTTAATCGCGATTAACGATTAAAATTATTAATCATAATCATCTGTAAGATTAATTATTACATTTTTGTAATCGTTAATCGTCGGTTGTGACTACGATAAATAAATGTTAATCATTAATCGTTAATACAATTTAAAAAAATCCTATCAAGTGGTCTAGTTTGCCCCGGTAACAGTTATTTTTTTGTGTTTGACGCTTATAAAAACACATACTATATAAAAAAAAAGTATTATTAGTTATTATTATTAGTAATATATAAACTACTTAGGAATTTTTACAACCCATCGCACATGTGCAGAGGGAGTTTAAAACCTAGTTTGCATATCGCAACCGACTTACTGACCATGTGTACGCAAGACAATTTCAGCATAAATTATTTAATCACCAAACGTACTTAATCAAATTAAGGTTTAATGATTATAAATAAATGTTTTTAATTACGGTTATGGTTAACTGGTTAGTCCCAGTTAATTAAATAATTGATTCAAAAATCAATCGATTAGGGTCAACACTGGCTCCATGCATGACAAGATAAAACCCAGCAGCCGGATTCCAACTTTCGCTCTCGGTAAAACTCCATCGCCAAGAAATGCTAAATGAATTTTAGTAATTTTTACCGATTTCACGATTCTATCGCATTTCTAAAAATCTCCATTTTTTATTCATTTTTTGGCCGATTTTAGTAATGAACAAAATGAACCGGATAAAGTGAATGAACTGTTTTGACAGCTCATATAGCTGAAGTTGCGATTTGAGCGCATTTTACAACTCTCAAAATCTCTATTTTTCGCTTAAACAACAGTGTTGCCACTTCGTGAGTAATTCCACAAAACGTGTGGAATTTTGGGTGCGCTTGAGTATTTTTTGAGGATTTTTATTTTGAGGAATTTTCTCGCGATATATTTGCAGATAACAAATGGAACTATGTTTTACACAACAGAGTTGTTAAATCGCTCTGGAAATTTTTGAACAAAAAGCTTTTCGAAGTTTTACAAGGAGCGAAAGCGGCTTGTCTAACATTCTTCAAACCTAATTTTCGCATTTCGCCATACACCATGCAAACATGACTCGTTCAAGTAAAGAATTTTTCCGGTTTACAATGTAAAAGAGTTCGATTTTTCTCTCTTGCGTTAACATGACGGCCAGAAAGTCAATCGTTATATTTTCAACTTATTTTGAACTTGCAAAATCTCGATATCGAATGGAGAGAACACGCCTTGTTTGATCATAAGAATATTCATATTGATTCGTCATTAGATTCAGAAAATTATAGGTTTTTAAATTAAAAGATTCCTCAGGTTCATAAGCATAAGTTTCCAAATTATAAAAAAGTATCTGCATTACTAATATAACCCTTTTCTAATTCTTTAGTAGAACGTTTATTTAATAGTTTAAAAACTGACTTGAGAACCAGATTAAGCACTAATATAGTTGCAGCAATATTATATACAAAGCAAGGCATAAAAAATAACGGTGATACTTTGTTTGAGCAGCAAGAACAAATGTACCAATTGAATTGGAGAATGTAATTAATTTTTATACTAAGTACCTGTAAATAGTAGTACATAATACTCATATCTGTAATAAGAAAATTGTGAGTAATTTGTTCGGATTTTGAGGATTTTTCATTTGTTTTTGAGGAATTTGGCAATTTTTTTGTGGCAACACTGTTAAAAAAAGTATATAAAATGCTGCACAAAAAAAGTTTATCAATAAAGCAATAGCTAATTTTTCTGTTTTTGTTCGTTGAAAACAAACAAATTTGTAATTAAGGCCAAAATACAATAGCGCAGTGGCAGTGACAGTTTATAAAATCAGCTGTTACTGCTAATATTGGCAGTCACTGCCGCAGCAAATACAATACGGCGTTGTCAGTGACAGCTTTTTTTGACATTCCCTTTTTTTTGTTTACGATTTTGTTGTTGTCTTTTAGGCTTCAGTGACATGCACAGAAGTTGGCTGCATTTTATTTACATATGTCAAATTCAGCACGCGAAGTTTGCTGCGATGAAGGCAGTGGCAGTGAATTTAGAATTTGGGCTAAACTGAGCAGTACTGCCAGCTGCCACTGCTGTATTGTGAGTCGCTTCATTGGACACCACACTTTCTAAAAAAACAGCTGATTTCGAAAAACTGCCACTGCCACTGCCGCTGCGTTATTGTATTTTGGGCTTTAATCGGAAAAATTAAATACACCAAAGGAAGAAGAGTGACAAAAGAAAAAAAATGTATGCTTGTACAATATTTTGAGAAGGTTCATTGAAATAAGGCAAATCTAAATGATTTCATGAATCGATTAATTATATTATANCATTGAAATAAGGCAAATCTAAATGATTTCATGAATCGATTAATTATATTGAAATTCTTAAATTTAAAAAAATATATTTACTACGTGTTGTCCTCTCACTTTGTCTTACAAAATATCTTATTTTCATTTAAGGTCTCATTCTTCTCAAATTCTCCTCCGATATTATTTATAATAAAAATTCTAATGCTTCTTTGTGACACAAAAGTCTTGCCTAGTGAAATGAATACGGATGTTCTTGAAACTAATTTGAACCAAAAAATAAACATGGTAATATATACACTGAGCAAAAAAAATTAATTTGATTGTTCGAACAAATGGCAACACTCCTAAATAATTGAATAATTTGAATGTATCTTTCTAAACACG